AATTTATTATAAAAAATAACTTTAATTATTATAATTTTATAATTTATTAAAAAATTTTATAACTTTTATTAATAGTAAAATGATTTAATTAGTTTGAAAATATAAATTTTAAAAAAATTTTTAAAAATTATTATCATAAATTTAAATATAAAATTGAATTATTTTAAAAACTTTTGAATAAACTTAGATATCTTCTAATAAAATATATATTAAACTATATTTTTATTAAAATTAATATTTATAAGAAATTAATATATTTTTAAATTAATAGACAAATTTTCTTACTAGATAATTTAAAAAATAATAAAGCTATATTTAAATAAATAAAATAATTTATAGTAATCTTTTTAAAAATAATATTAAAAAATTTATGAAAAAATTAATTATTTAAAGTAAAATAAAAAATAATTAATTATATTTCTATAAAAAAATACTATTATTTTTATTTTTATATAATTTAAATATATATTATTTATTATATTTAATAATTTCTAAATATATTATATAATAAATAATAATCATTTTTAATTATAAAAAATTTTAATAATTTTTATATTTTTAATATATAAAATTATAAAAAATAAAAATATTTAAAAGTAATAAATAAGTTTAAAAGAAAATTAATTAACTATTAAAATATAAAAATTCTTTCAATAAATTAAAAAGATATTATAAAAATATAAAGTTATAAAATTTAAAAAATATGAATTTGTAAAATATGAATTTGATAATTATTTTTTAAAATCTAATTATTAAACAAAATATTTTTTAATAAATATTTTAATAATTTAAATAATTTAATTAAAATTAAGTTATTTTTATTATATAATTATATATTATATCATTCTAAAATTGATTATATTATTATAAATATTATATCATAATTATAAAAACTACAGTTATTTATTGATATCAATATCTTTATATCATTAATATTAATAAAACATTTTTGACTTATTTGCTATTTTAGTTTAATCATTTATTTATTTTTCTTTTAATTTAACCTAGTGATTATCTATACTTTTATTAATTTCAAAAGAATTTACCACTCTAATTATTTCATTTTCTTTAACATAAATAACATCTTATCTTTTAATAAATATAATATAATTGTAGAATCATTTAACCATTTTTTATTAATATAACTAAGAATTTTTTTTTTAAAATAAGTTTATAATATATAAGTGATTATTTATCAATTTAATATGCAATTTTTTTCATATTCATTTTAAATTATTCTAAAAAAGATATCCAAAATTAAACAACCTTATAACAAAAAAAGATTGACAAATTTTTAGAATAGTATAGTATATATAATATAAAGTATTTTAATAAAATAATAATTGTATTAAATATAATTATATATTATAAACTTATTATAAAGTTTAAAATTTAAATAAATAAAAAGTACTTAAAAAAAAAATAGTTTGATATTAAATAACATTTAAAATCTTTTAAAATATTTTAATAATTAAAAAAAATCTTTAAATTTTTAACATATTTTATTAATATTTTATTAATATTTATTTATTAAAAATAATAAAATTAACTTTTTTTTTATTTTTTAATTTAATTAAATTCAATTGATCAAATTTTTAATTTATATAAATAATTTTAATAATTTTATAAATTAAATAAATAGTATATATTAGCTAAATTATAAAATTAATGCTTTACCTTATAAAATATTTATATATTAACTGATTCAAAAAAATCAAATAATTATCTTGATATTGAACTTTTAATAAAAATAATATTAAAATTATAAATTAGAATATAAATTTTTGTAACAAAAAGTAAATAGCTTGATAGACACATAAGTTAACTATTTAATAAATCATTTTATGATTTCTAAGTTAAAGTAAATTTTTATCTTTTAAATAAATTTAAATTTATTTAATTAGTATACATATACTAAAAAATAATTTACATAAATTAGAAAGAAAAACTTTTCAAATCAAAAAATATTTTATTTACTTAATAAGCTAAATATTATTTTTTTTTTTTAGTAAAATAAATCCAATCAATTCAAAAAAAAATTATTTGATAGTTTCCTCCCTTTCTACTGCAAAGTGTCCATATAAAATATTTTAATTTAAGTTTGTACGAATTCATTTTTTCGGAGTTTCATATTTCACATTGAGACATGTATAACGAGCATTCCGCTAAATAAACATCCTATTTCAAATCATAAAACTTTTAGAATTTTCAATGGACACCGGTCTCGTGTAATGAGAAAGGTTTTCAATCCGTATCATTATCGTGTAACTGTAACCCACGCAGACATATTTGAAATAAGGTCGTGTTTGCGTTATATTCATATTGAAATTTCGATATGTTTTTACCGAGTTTTTAATTTTTTTTAGTATCCCGGGTTAGTCTTATTTTGATATATTAATATAAGATATCGTACCGTTTTTTGTAATTATGAATTAAAAACCAAAAGAGAATGGGTATAATAAGTTAAAAGATTACCCTATAGGTTTAGGTAAATTATTCTCATTATTCCCAAAAGATCCGACGAATATGTTGTTATAATATATATATCATTTCTTAATTTATAAATTTTAGGATTCTACAAATTTTTTATAATGGTATTTTAAATAATGCTAATATAAGAAAAAATGTGTCGCTATATATTAAAATTATATATCTCACCATAGTTACAGATCAGGTGATCTGTGCCAATTAATTAATTTAATTCAGAAAAGGGGTAGTGCTTTTGTGTACTTTTATAACAATTAAATTTTTTTATTGAAAAAATCATTTCCTCCCTTTCGAAAAAAATATTTAAGGATGGTTATATTGGAAAGTATATTAACAGGAATGACAATAACGATAGGCGCTGGAACGTTATTATACTTTTATCAAAATGAATTATTATATCCAGCAAAATATCGAAAGAAATCCTGCGAATTCGTAAGTTCTTATTCTTTAAAATTTATTTTATAATATTTTACTTTAAAAAAAAGTATTGATAATTATGTAGGATATCCCGATATTTTCTAATGATGGAATTCTTTATACTGAAGTGATATTAACTACAAAGGATAAAGTCAGAATTCGTGCATACGTATATAAAAGACCAAATGATGATGAAGCGTGTAAACGACCCACCGTCTTAGCCTTACATGTAACTTTATAATCTTTCCTTTTTGTAAAAAAAAAAAAAAATTTGATTTTTGATTTTTGATTTGATTTTTTTTTTTTTTTTTGCAGGGAAATCGTGGAAGCATAGTGAGTATATACTAATCATACAAATTTGTTAAAAACATTCAAGCAAAAGCTCAACTTTTACCTTTATAATAGGGACAACGTTCAGCGATTGTGCATAAATTTTATCATAATTTTAAATTTAACGTAGTGTTACTTTCTTATAGAGGGTAAATGGATGATTTATTTTCTTTAAAAATTTTTTCATTGTATTAAATAAAACTTATTAGGAATTTCCAGATATGGACATAGTGAAGGAATTCCATCGGAAGAAGGAATAAAAATAGATGCACAGGTAAAGAAATATTAATATTATATTATCCTCATTACCAAATTTCCGTAATCCATCTATATCTCACCCTTATTATTTTAATATCTCGTAAATTTCAAGACCGCATTGGAATATATTAGAAGACATCCAATTCTTTATGGAACAAAATTAATATTATATGGAAGATCATTAGGAGGCGCTGTCGCTATTGATCTGGCCGCAAGGAATGAAGACGAGGTAAATTTAATTATGAATCGTTTTATTTATTAATGTTTTATTAAAAGAAATTCTTTTATCTTTAAAATTTTTAGATAAATGCACTAATTTTAGAAAATACGTTTCTAAGTATTGTGAGTTACTCTTCTCTTAAATAAAATTGAAAGTTCAAATAACTAAAAAAAAATTTTTTTTTTTTTTGACAGCCAAAATTATTATCAACATTATTTTCTCCTTTAAAGTATTTAACATTTATATGTACACAAATATGGTCATCAGATGAACAAATTGGAACAATTAAAAGAATTCCGATATTATTTTTATCTGGTAAATTAGATGCTTTAGTACCACAACAACAAATGAAAGAATTATATGAATTGACAAACACTTCGGCTGGCAAAGAATGGAAAGAATTTCCTTTTGGTAATCATGGTAATACAATTTCTCAACTCGGTTATTGGATAGTTATTAAAGAATTTTTATTATGGGCTATTTTTGACAAAGATGAAGGAAAACTAAAATGAAAAAAGATGGTCATGCTAAATTAAACTTTGTAACAGACATCTACTTGTTAAAGTAGTATTAACACGATAAATTATATTATTCTAATTTTTGTCTCTGTTAGCATTTTTTTTTGCCACGAAAATATTATTAAAATTCGTAAAATGATAATACACTGTGAAATTCGATATACCGGAACCGGTATATCGAATTTCACCTCAAATGCTGCATTTATTACGAATCTTATGAGCAGTAAATCATTTATAATTTTCCCAAATATAGTTTATCAAAATTTTCTATACATAATTTTGCATTCACCCGGTGGTATAATCATGTACTATATAATCAATACCATTTCAGTATTGATAAAGACGAAGTTTGTAATGGACACAGAATTTTACCCTGAAGGACGTGATTGCATTATCCTGGTGCATAACATTCTTAGTAGGTTTGTACCAGTAAAGTATTAAATTTCAGAACGGATAAATGCAAAGTATTACATTCATTAATAATGCATATAAAACAAAATTTGTTAATTATTGCATGCATATAAATGATATTTTTTAGAATTCAAAAAGTGTTACGTATTATTAAATGAATTCAAGAAACGATTCTATACAATCATCCTTCCATACCATACGCATACTGCTCAATACTAATGATGAACCAAACAACAAATTGGATTGATTATGATACAACAGAAGAGTATACATTACTTATAACCTTTTCAATACTAAATTAGTAACCCACTTAAACAATAGAGGTAAAATAAAAATTGGTGTATATTCCTCCTGCAAATCTAAAAAGACTCGTCATTAGGTTGGATTGGTATTTTGATAAGAGATGCAGGTGAAGAACAACTACGATTCATTAATTTAGTTGTAGAGTTGACTAAGAGCTTTGATTCCAGTTGAGCGAACCATTTAGCACTATGAAACATTGAGTTGTATATCATATTAAGATCAAAAGATGTAAATAAATAGAGTCCATTCATAGTAGTAAGTTGGTCAACGTATAAGAGTGATAGTATTATACATGAAACCGAAATTAAAATGGTCGAAATGATTACGAGGGGCGAAATGGTTGAAATTGATTTCGACTATTTGTTAAAAAATTTGAAAAGTCGAAATTAATTACGAGGGTCAAAATCAATTACGAGGGTTGAAATACATTATGAGGATCTAAATCAATTGTGAGAGTCAAAATATGTAAAGCCAGCCAGAATTAAGATCATATGACATTACACAAATCCAAAAAGGAGATTTTGTTCTCGTGAAAATTGAAATGAGTGTTGCATAGTAGTATCACAAACTCCTAAAAAGGAAATTTTATTATTGATCATTTAATTTAAGCCAAAATAATATAATAGAGACAAAACAGTTTAATTTCACCAGAATTAAGCGAAACAAATAAATTTTGCCAGAATTAATAGAGCGAAAACAATAGATTTTATTGAATGAAAAGTTACCAAACTCTTTCTTGTTAGATTTTGTCTAAGAATTTTTATGTAAAAAATGTGTTCGTTCAAGAACGGCCATAGATTAGCCTGCGAATAAAAACAAAAACTCCCTTTTCAAAAATTTTTCTCTTTTTATTTCTCATACCTTAACCAAAAAATATTTTGTTATTAATCCAAACGGTGGTATTGTTTTGTTAAAATATTTTTTCACTACTTCTCTTAACTATTTTTCTCATTTGTTTTCCTTTTCTTTTTTTTTGCCTATAAAAAGTGAGTATCAAGGGATATCTAAAATGACAATTATAATCAATACAACTTTAAACATAATAAATCTCATGTAATGACTATTCAATTACCTTATTTAGGATCAGTGTCTCTAGCTTAATTAATAACAACTGAGCTCCTATTGTAAATTACATTGTGATAGCCACAGGTTCAAGTCTCAGCTGAAGTATAAAATTAGATGATTTTTATAAGAATTTTATATATAACTGAATATGTGAGTATATATACTAATATGTGTTAAAAACTAATCAATTAATCTATTAATTGGCATTAATTATGCTTAAATACTGGAATGGTCATTCAAAACTTAATTTCAATCATAAATCAGCTTAAAACTAACCTCAATTTAGTAACAATTCAGACGCTAATAGATACCAATCGATTTCAATCGGACATGGCTATTCAGATTAAATTTAACCATAAATCAGCCTAAAATTAACCTTAATTTAGCATCATTCAGCATTAATTCAGAATTTAAATAACCATAAATCAGCATAAAATTGGCTTCAATTTGGCATCATTCAGCATCAATTCAGAATTTAAATAACCATAAATCAGCCTAAAATTGGCCTCAATTTGATATCAATTCAGTCAAATAAGTATATAAAATCGATATATTATATTTATTAAATTTATTAAATATTATAA